AATTTATTAATAAAAATTTTCCCCACAGGGACCACTCAATATAGTTCACAAAATCTCAGATTTTTCTCATCTTCATATGTTTATTCCAACACAAATGCTTCTTTCTGCAAACTCCCATTTGCCTTTGCTTAATATAATAGATTTGTTTAGTTTTACACTCCTGTTAAGCAAGATCGAATCTTTTTTTCTACCTGCAATTGGTATTTATAAGTGTTCATACAAAACTTGTTACTTTAGGTTGATCGATTATTTTATTATCTTTTTTTGTCCCCTTGGAAGTTATGACAAAATGGTGCATAATACCGAATGTCTTGTAATTCATCACATAAAAATAATGCTTGCTTAGACTCATTTTAAGTTGATAACTTTTTCATAATTAATGATTGGTTTTAGTTCATAATTTTTTAGCTTATTGATGACTAAGTGGTACATTCTTCCATTTAAAGTAAGCCCTTAAGAAAATAATAGTTTTGTTCTCTCTCATTTCCTCTGCTAATTTTTGTGTTTAACTTTAAATACCAATTCAGAAATATGATTATAAAAATAAGTAACAGAAACTATTCCATTCTGGTATTAATTGCCAGTTACTGTTCTTGTACTTTTTCAATTATTTTTATTAGTAAATCAGCTAGGCTCTATTTCAACTTAGACATTATCCAGAAATCACCTTGGGTCTGTTTAAAACACACACACACACACACACACTCACAAACACACACGGCTGTGTGGAAACGAGGCTGGAGGGAGCAATTATGCTGAGTAGGAGTCCCAAGAGGGGTTCTGTGTGCACTAGGTACTTCCTGGGGACTTGGAATGACGGTTTTTAATCTAGGTTGTTGCTCTGAATCTATACTTGTTTCTTAGTCCAAGGAAGGCTCTGGCCAGAGTACTGTCAACCAAGTGTCTTGTGACGAGAACCTCTAATGCCTCTGGGTGTCTGGAGTGCTGTCTCATAGAATTAGCTTCAAGTTCCCTTAGAAGTTTCAGCTGCTTCATGTTCTGAATTCTAATGAATTTGAAACTATACTGAGCAGGTGACAGCTGTGAGTGAGGGACCACATCACCAGCTTATTTACTTTTATTCTAATTCAAAGTGATAGGTCCATTACTTTTTGAAGTTGAATGTCTTGTTTCTATTCTTTTTCTAACCACTGTTTTGTCTTTTCTTTTTCTTCCATTTTGGTTCTTTTTATTTCCTCTCTCTCTTCCTTGCCATTCTCTCCTCCCTCCCATATTTCCTCACTCTTCCCTCCTCTCTTCTTCCCTCCCTTCCTTCCTTCTTCTGTTCTTTGCCTTTTCTCTTTATTACCCTAGAACCTTGTCATATCAGTTTCCTTTAAGGACCAAACTTTCTTATGATCTTTTTCTTCCTCTATTCCTTCTTCTTATTATTACTGGTCATGGTGTTTATTGGCCCTCATTCTTCTTCAGTTACACGTTTCTAGGATATGCTACACTGGTCAGTATCTTTGTTTCTTTTGGATTCCAAAGCCATGAACTAAATATTTCACTTTAATTGTTCAAAACTGCTTAACTGAACTGTTGTATAATTATTATTAGCTCCTCCTTTCTACTCCTATCCTCATAAAGCTTGAATAGAAATGTAAAACTAGATAAGCAGCTAGTTTGATAAATATTACTTTGATAATGGATTCAAAAAAGCCTATATTTAAAGAGTCAATCTGCTCTAACATTCAGTAACAGCGCCAGGTCCCTTAAAATATTTTTTTTAAGTGAGGATAATTGCCAAAGTAGGTAACATAGCTGAAAACATTTCATGATACAAATGATACTTATTGCTACTGAGATTTACTATCAAAGAGAGTCACTATTCAGTGTCACAGGACATTTCAAAATCCATATTTTATTTTTTAACTTTTTATTTCAAAATAATTTGAAACATAAAAAATTGCAAACTGTATTCCCATATAACCTTTTCTAAATGTTAGCATTTTAGAGTTATCAAACCCGAAAATTAACACTGATAAAATACTATTAACTAATCTATAGTTGTTATTCAAATTTCATCAATTATCCCACCAATGTCCTTTTTCTAGAGCAAGAGACAAACAGAAATCATATACAACATTTACTTGTCATGTCTCTTAGTTTCCTCCAGTCTGGGTAGTCTTTTCGTGTCTTACGAGATCTTGACACTTTTGAAGTCTAGTGACCAGGTATTTTGGAGAATGTCTCTCACTTTGTGTTTTGGTAATAAAAGTCAGGTTGTGCGTTTTTGGCAAGAGTACCATAGAATTAGTATTATCCCCTTCTCAGTGCATCATATCAGGAAGCGCATGATGTCAATTTGTCTAAATACTACTGATATTAACTCCAATTCTTCATTCCAGGCTGGCCAGGTTTCTCTACTGTAAAGTTGCTAGTTTACTTTCTGCAACTAATAAGCATTATGTGGAGAGATGCTATGTAAATGACCAGTTTTTTCTATCATACTTCCAGCTATGAATTTTGTACTCATTGATCATTCTTGCTGAAACAGTTGTCACTATGGTGTTTGCCAAATAGCGATTTTCGATCTTCATCATTCCTTCTACCATTATTAGTTAAAATTCTTCTACAAGAAAGTTTTCCCTTACCCACCACTTACTTACCTTCAATTATTTATGTATATCAGTATGGATTCATGGGTATCTGTTTCGTTCTATGAGTTATACACCATTACAATTGATATTTATTTTGTTGCTCAAATTGTCCGCATTTGACCATTGGAAGCCCTTTAAGTTGGCTCCTGTGTCCTTCATATCACCATCATTTTTGAATATTCGTATTTTCTGGTACTACAAACAAAACGTTCATGCTCTTCTTGTACTCCATTTGATCCAGCCCATGAGTCAATGATTTTCTAAGGACACCAGATTTCTGTTATTAAAGAATGGAATTTAGAAACCAAAAATCTGGATTTACTTGTGCTCATTCGCAAAAGAATGTATCTCCTTTTTCCTACAGCCTATTTACTTATTTGCTTAAATCTTCCATACACATAAAGTACTTTTAGAATTGTTAATCCATACCTCTGTGAAAAATATTTACTAACAAAAGTACAATATTTAGCCTTAGAAGATAGAGTCAAAATGCTTTGTTTCCAAAGTTACTTTTCTTCTCTTCCTCATCATGAAAGAGTTTTATGCTTTCACCTACAAAGAAAACTATGATGAGTTCATGTTGACCTGAATATTTACATACTTAAGTGAGTCGTCTACAAATCAAGGTTGTATTTTTTAATAGACTGATTTTGATACTTGCTTTGTTATTGAGATGAAAATGAAGCTTCATATTTCTATCATGTTTTCTTTTTTTTCTTTATTTCTTCTAAAAAAATGGTATGCATGTGCAGAACGTGCAGGTTTGTTGCATAGGTATACATGTACCATGGTGATTTGCTGCACCTGCTGACCCATCCTCTAAATTCCCTCCCCTCACATCCCATACCCCAACAGTGTGTGTTGTTCCCCTCTCTGTGTCCATGTGTTCTCATTGTTCAACACCCACTTATGAGTGAGAACATACAGGGTTTGGTTTTCTGTTCCTGTGTTGTATGTAACATTATTATACATTTTTTTTTTTTTTTACTCTTTTAATATCTTTAATATTGGCCAAGGCAGGTGGATCACGAGGTAAAGAGATCCAGAGCATCCTGGCCAACATGTTGAAACCCTGTCTCTACTGAAAATACAAAAATCAGCTAGGCATGGTGGCGCCTGTAGTCTCAGCTACTTGGAGGCTGAGGCAGGAGAATCGCTTGAACCCAGGAGGTGGAGGTTGCAGTGAGCTGAGATCGCGCCATTGCACTCCAGCCTGGTCACAGAGCGGGACTCCGTCTCAAAAAAAAAAAAAAAAAAAAAAAAAAAAGTCTTGTCATGTAGGAAGTAAAATAACAGAAAATAGCCTTCTTTCAAGTTTCTGTAACTGAGTAAAAGACAAAACTGCATGAAAAGTCTCAAGAAAAAGAGTGAACTGGCCGGGCGTGGTGGCTCATGCCTGTAATCCCAGCACTTTTGGAGGCCCAGGCGGGCAGATCACAATGTCAGGAGTTCCAGGCCAGTCTGGCCAACACAGTGAAACTCCGTCTCTACTAAAAATACAAAAAAAAAATTAGCCAGGTGTGGTGGTATGCGCCTGTAATCCCAGCTCAAGAGGCTGAGGCAGGAGAATGGCATGAACCCGGGAGGAAGAGGTTGCAGTGAACCGAGGTCCAGCCCAGGGGCTAGTGTGAGACTCCATCTCAAAAACAAAACAAAACAAAACAAAAACCAAACAAACAACAAAGAGTGACCTGAACCAAAAATGACCCTCCACTTTTACAAACCATTTTGTCTTCCTGAAAGACATGACCTATAAATGACCGAGTATGAACAGTATCTTTACACTTCTTTCTTTCCTTGATTTGTTTCCGGGTTTCAGGTAAGAGGTAAAGGGTCAGAAGGAAGACAGCGGCTAGTAGATGCTGAAAAGGAGAGCAATAGGCCAAGTCAAGTAAGTACAGAAGTACAGCATTTTTTTTTTGTTTTTTTATTTTTTTCTGAGACGGAGTCTGGCTCTGACCCCCAGGCTGGAATGCAGTGGTGCGACCTCGGCTCACTGCAAGCTCCGCCTCCCGGGTTCACGCGATTCTCCTGTCTCAGCCTCTAGCTGGGACTACAGGGGGCCTCCACCACGCCCGGCTAATTTTTTTGTATTTTTAGTAGGGACGGGGTTTCACCGTGTGAGCCAGGATGAGTCTCAATCTCCTGACCTCGTGATCCGCCCGTCTTGGCCTCCCAAAGTGCTGGGATTACAGGCATGAGCCACTGGGCCTGGCCCACAAAAAAATTATTATTATTAATCAGAAATTACAGGATATAGGGGAGATTGGTTAATAGTAGTGTGTCTATTTTTAACAATGTATCAGAATGTAATACTCTATAGCATGGCAGGCGTTAAAAACTTTTTCTGATGCCTAGATAGAAGTAGACAGAGGCATGAGAATGATTCAGTGCTCAGCTGTTTCTCCTTAGCTGTAATTTATGACTGACAGCATTATTTCTCTTGGACAGTGAAAGAAAATTTTAATCTTTTTATAGTACCACATATTGTATAGAATTTGTTTGTGTCTAATTTTGACTCTGTAGCTCCCCAAACCCTAGAGAACATGTGAAGTAGTTAGCCTACTCTTATCCTTGACATGAGATTTTCATCTTTTATCTTAAATAGAATAGCGAACTCTTTCTTTCAGTGAAGGACTTTTCCTCTATTAGTCACACTTAGTGGTTACAAAGTTCTCTTTTCTTTTATACAAATGCCAACATTTTTGTAACTTCTTGGCTTATGAAGAGTGCGTGTTTAGAGTTACCAGGAACCATGAAAGGGAAGATACCATTGGTGTTTATTTACTGAGATTTAATAGGAGAGTCATTAATATGGCATTTTCACCCTTTTCCTGCCGAAATCTGGGAGAGCTTTTGGTTGCATATGCCTTTCAGGCTTAGCATTTGTAAAACAGGAACAGCTTGTGACTTTTACCATAGGACAGGGCTTTCAGCAGAAATAGGTCTATCACAATTACTGTGAATATGTGCACAGGAATCCTTGCTATGGTGGGAATGTTTATTTGTTTACTTTTCATAACCAACAGCAAACAACCCTTCTCTTGAAGAAGTATATTTCTCCTCTGGATTTTGAGAAAATTTTAACCTTTTGCATGATGTATATAGATCACCTTTTGACCACAAATATATGTCACATCACATTGGACAGGTTTCAAATCACAACCATGAAGTTCAACAACATACTGATAAAAATGGCCATGCAACAATGTGAAGATTAACATGTAGCAAGATCCAGGGTATATTAAGTTGTAATAATAAAAAAGGCACAGCCTTAGGTGCCCCATAGTTCATGGTTTGCACCACATTTTCACACAAGTTTTGTAGATGTCTAACTACAGACACTAGCACACATACTTTGGTGACAAGTCAAAAACCTTTTGGGAAATTAATATTATCCAAATGTGTTTTGGTGAAAGTCTATCCTTCCTGAGAAAAGTCCTGCCAACAAAATGTAGAGAAATGAGTATGAAATTTAGGAATGAACAAAAAAAGAAGTCATTTTGTGACATTTACAAGTGGACAAGGAAGGACGTCATTTTGGGCAAAGGGAACCCACATGCAAAACCGTGTTATGAGAATATTAGATATTTGGCAAATGTCCCAGAGTTTCATGTGAATTTGTACGCTGTTGATAAAGAGGAAGGAATGGAATCAGGAAATATGAAACGGTTAGAATGATTAAACTTGGTGACTAACAGAAGTAGTAAGGAAGAAAGGATTGGACATATCCTAACCAACGGAGCTTATTAGTCACAGATGTTGGTGAATAAATCCCACCATGCCCCATCTATTCCTGACAAGCGCAATCAAGGTACGAAATCATGTGCTTTGGTGAGACCTAGAGATAAGGTTTCATGTTTCAGTTCTGTCAAAATGCTCTGTGTAACACTGGGAAAACAACTGCTGTGAGCTTTAAATTCAGTATCCAGAAAATAATATTTATTTCTCAGAAATTTTGTAAAGATTAATTGTGAGAGAAGTCGCTTTGAAATAATTATGTAAATGCAAAATATGTTATCTTGTTGTCCACTGCTACTAATTGTTAACATTAAAAATGTATATCTGCAAAATCAGTTCTTCTATGTTAAATTAAGAAACTCAGCACCGGCCAGGCATAGTGGCTCCTGCCTGTAATCCCAGCACTTTGGGAGGCTGAGGTAGGTGGATCACCTGAGGTCAGGAGTTCAAGACCAGCCTGACCAACCTGGTAAAATCACCTTTGTACTAAAAATGCAAAACATGGTGGTACATGCCTGTAATCCTAGCTACATGGGAGAATGAGGCAGAAGAATTGCTTGAATCCGGGAGGCAGAGGTTGCAGTGAGCCAAGATCACGCCCATTACACTCCAGTCTAGGCGACAAGAGCAAAACTCAGTCTGGAAAAAAAAAAAAAAAGAAAAAGAAGTGCAACATCATGTCCCTAATTTTTTAGTTATACTGTTGCAACAGCCTTTGAACACATGGCAGTTTTGCCAGGTTTGGGTCTCCCTCAGTGTTCAATTTCCTTCTCCATCTTTTAAGTTTCTATTCTAAATAAAACAAGAGGTAATTATGGTTGAGTTCCCTTTTCTCTTAAGTTGGCGAATAAAAAGTGTAGAGTCCTTTATGCAAGTAAAATAAATGCACAGGCTAATAGTTTATTTTCTTTTCTTTGGTAACAAGAACAAGGAGATTTTTGTGAGGAAACAAAATACTTGTTTGCGAAGAATTTGTGATACTGTGTCAAAGGTGACTAATATCTTGAATCTCATCCAGACACCTACTACAGGGGAATTAAGGACACAGTAAAATAATGGCCATCTTTTATACCTGGGTTGGCTCCTAACATCAAATTGTGATGTGGCTTGTGGAGTAGTGGGCTGCGCTTGGCCACACTAGTTTTGTGTGTGCTTTCTTTGCTCCTTTAAGCCAACACTAGAGAGAAAGCAGACTGAATAGTTGTGTTGCTATCTTCTCTGTGACCTACTTACTTTGGTATTCTAAATTTTTCAATTATGTTAATGGAAAAAGGAAGAGAGCCCTAGAAGAGAGTGACCTGTGCCCTGTTTGTGAGCTCAGCCTCATGCTGAACAGCCCTAACTCGCCACCCCAAATGGGGAAATCCATAAGCCTGTGTAGTTGTCTTAGCCACAAGGAAGTGAAGAGACCAAAGACAGTCTTTCTCTCCCAAAACCTAGAGAAGAATTAGAATTGTGGGGAATTGATCCCAGGAATCTACATTCTAACAGATTGCTCAAGTAAGCCTTCTCTACACTAAACTTCAAGAATATTTTTGAAAAATTTCACCATCTTTTATGATCCTTGTATTAGTAAATTAAATGTAGCCTTAATAATCAATAAGCACTTATCCGCACTTATAAGAAAATGAAAGTTCCCTCTAAAAGCAAAGGAACAAATTAAGAACGTATTTTCAAATATCGTCATACATTTATTTTTTCTTTTATTTGCTTCAGACAACTTAGAATTTCACTATATAAACTAGTGCCATCCATGAGATCAGAGAAGAAACCTTACAGTTAAGCTCCTCACACTTATTCCACAGCTTATTCTTATTTATAATGAGCTTGTTGTTGTTTGCTTAGTAGTTATTACTAAGGGGTTATTACTTTCATTAGACCTTGCTTAGAATGTCTTCAAACTTAAATTATATATATTGTTTTAGAGTGAGAACATATACCAACATTTGAAAGAATATATAAATATGTATTTGGTAATGGCAACATTGCTAAAATAAATGTATGACCTTCTAAGTGACTGGTCTAAAAAGGGCATTGATGATAGGTTTAGTTCATATTGGAATTTCAAGCCTCTAGTTTTGTAAACAATCTTCCTATTTGATTTCAATGTTAATGAAATTCTCCGCTTTAAAATCATTCAGAAGATAGCATATACTGTCACTAGCAAGCATTCACATGGCTTTAAGTGGGAGAGAAATACTAGACGAAAACTAGAAAGCCTTTATCGCCACTTCATTTCCTGTTTTCCACTTGTCTTTGGTGATGATTCAAGGTTTAAATATTTGAAGCTATGAAAAATTAAGAATATTCTCCAGAGGTTCAAATGAAGAGAGCTCCTACCTAGCCTGCAGCTTTGGTTGAGGCCAGGATTGGCTCCTAGAATATTAGCTACTATGACTATCTTTCATTATCACCTCTTAGAGAAGGGAACCATTAAACAACGAAGAACAAACCAGAATAAGACAAAGAAACAGTTGGCTTAAAGATGACTGCTGAAGAAGAAATGTGTACAGAGATTCATCTAGGTCTATGCTGTTCCCTGTGGTAGTCACAGCTAATGATCATATGCATTGAGGTTAGTATGAATGAGGAACAGAGCTTTTAATTTAAGTTTCTAACTTTAATTTTAATGAATGTATATTTAAGTTTAATAATTGGTACTATTTTTAATTGTTGGAAAAAAATTTAAGCTTTTTTGGGGAACAACTCACCTCTGGAGATCTACTTTTTAAACTGTAAATTTTATGAAGCCTAATACCAATTAAGTATTTGTGATAAAATTTAGCATCCAAATTGAGATGTACTGGAAATGTAAAATACACACTAGATTTTTAAGACATAGTATGAAAAAAACAATATAAAATTTTCCCTAATATTTTAAAGTATGTTTACATGTTGAAATGATATATTTTGAGTGTGTTGGGTTTAAAATATGTTATTAAGATTAATTTCACCCATTTCTTTTTACTTTTTTAATGTAGATACTAGAAAATTTTAAATGTGGTTTCTATTATATTCCTGTGGGACAGTAGTCATCCAGATGCTTATGAAAGCCCAGATTTCTATAGTGCTGGAAACCGAGAAGTCTGGTGTTCCCTGGTATTCATTTCAATGCCATGGCTCTACAAGGGAATAAATATGTATTAATCAGTGGTGAAATATATCCTTGGAAAATAATTTGAAAACTTTATTACTGAGAATACAGATTATTAACTAAATGGTAATAGTACTATCCTAATAAGTGCCAACTCATCAAAACAACTAGGGATATTCAGAGTGAGGACTGTATAAATGTTTACCAAAATGTTTTTCTTGTTCCAGATTTCCTTCTTATAACTTTTAAGGTAATTTATTTTAGTCAGGATTAACTAAGCAAAATATGTGGTTATAATTATATCACATGATGCATATAAATTAAGCAATAACTATGAATCATCTCAGATGTGGAATGTTCATGGCCTCAGAGTGGAATACGGGAACTCATAAGACTTTTTTATTATTATGATACTTTAAGTTCTAGGTATATGTGCACAACGTGCAGGTTTGTTACATAGGTATACATGTGCCATGTTGGTTTGCTGCACCCATCCACTCATCATTTACATTAGGTATTTCTCCTAATGCTATCCCTCCCCCAGCCTCCCACCCCCACAGGCCCTGGTGTGTGATGTTCCCCACCCTGTGTCCAAGTGTTCTCATTGTTCAGTTCCCACCTATTAGTGAGAACATGTGGTGTTTGGTTTTCTCTCCTTGTGATAGTTTGCTGAGAATGATGGTCTTCAGCTTCATCCATGTTGCTGCAAAGATATGAACTCATCCTTTTTTATGTCTGCATAGTATTCCATGGTGTGTATTTACGACATTTTCTTAATCCAGTCTATCACTGATGGGCATTTGAGTTGGTTCCAAGTCTTTGCTATTGTGAATAGTGCCGCAATAAACATATGTGTGCATGTGTCTTTATAGTAGCATGATTTATAATCCTTTGGATATATACCCAGTAATGGGATGGCTGGGTCAAATGGTATTGCTAGTTCTAGATCTTTGAGGAATCGCCACACTGTCTTCCACAATGGTTGAACTAATTTACACTCCCACCAACAGTGTAAATGCACTCATATTTCTCCACATACTCTGCAGCATCTGTTGTTTCCTGACTTTTTGATGATCACCATTCTAACTGGTGTGAGATGGTATCTCATTGTGGTTTTGATTTGCATTTCTGTGATGACCAGTGATGATGAGCATTTTTTCATGTGTCTATTGCCTGCATAAATATCTTCTTTTGAGAAGTGTCTGTTCATATTCTTTGCCCACTTTTTGATGGGGTTGCTTGTTTTTTTCTTGTAAATTTGTTTAGGTTCTTTGTAGAATTTGGATGTTAGCCCTTTGTCAGATGGGTAGAGTGCAAAACTTTTCTCCCATTCTGTAGGTTGCCTGTTCACTCTGATGGTAGTTTCTTTTGCCATGCAGAAGCTCTTTGTTTAATTAGATCTCATTTGTCTATTTTGGCTTTTGTTGCTATTGCTTTTGGTGTTTTAGTCATGAAGTCTTTGCCCATGTCTATGTCCTGAATGATATTGCCTAGGGTTTTTTTTCGGTTTTAGGTCTAACATTTAAGTCTTTAATCCATCTTGAATTAATTTTTGTGTAAGGTGTAAGGAAAGGATCCAGTTTCAGCTTTCTACATATGGCTAGCCAGTTTTCCCAGCACCATTTATTAAATAGGGAATCCTTTCCCCATTTCTTGTTTTTGTCAGGTGTGTCAAAGATCAGATGGTTGTAGATGTATGGTGTTATTTCTGAGGCCTCTGTTCTGTTCTATTGGTCTATATATCTGTTTTGGTGCCAATACCATGTTATTTTGGTTACAGTAGCCTTGTAGCATAGTTTGAAGTCAGATAGTGTGATGCCTCCACCTTTGTTCTTTTTGCTTAATATTGTCCTGGCAATGCGGGCTCTTTTTTGGTTCCATATGAACTTTAAGGTAGTTTTTTCCAGTTCTGTGAAGAAAGTCATTGGTAGCTTGATGGGGATGGCATTGAATCTATAAATTACCTTGGGCAGTATGGC